AAATTAACTACTTCATTCAATTTTGTTTAGTCTTTTATCTTCATTTTTGTTTGGCAAGGACACATTATTGCATTGGAACAATTTGAAGCTAAATCAATTGAATACATGCCAAAGATGAAATGGGATTTTAAACAAGAGAGCAAGAGGAGCCACAGATGCAGAACAGTCTCTACCCGGCTCTCTTTGCCCTGAAGGCGGCAGCAGAAGGACGAATGCAACGCACCATCTGAACCCGAGGAGGCCGGGGGGCGCTTCATTTACGCTACAGAGCCTCCCTGTTTAACCCAGCACAACACCCTGCAGCACACACACACACACACACACACACACACACACACACACACACACACACACACACACACACACACACACACACACACACACACACACACACACACACACACACACACACACATGACTTACTAGGACTCTGCACAAATGAAAACCAGATGTTTTGTGTGTAAGACAGCGTAAAAACAAACATCTGGTTCTTTTCTCGTGTTTGTTTTCCATTGATTTTCTTTGCCATGTGCTCCCGGTTCAGTAGAAATTCATTTTCTGTACAGTGAATTGGATTTCTTGCGGTGATTAGATCACTGATTGAAAGAAAACTGGAGCAGAGATGAGTCAATTATTTCAGAAACACTTTCCCGGGCTGTCGGGCGGTGTAAAATATTGATGTAAAACACTAAATGTAAATAACAAACTGTTTAAAGGGGCTATGCTAATTTCAGGTGTATGTGTCTCTACTTTAAAGAGTCCTCTCCTGCTGATGTTCAGGTGTATATCAGTATGTAGTGTCTCTACTTTAAAGAGTCCTCTCCTGCTGATGTTCAGGTGTATATCAGAATGTAGTGTCTCTACTTTAAAGAGTCCTCTCTTGCTGATGTTCAGGTGTATATCAGTATGTAGTGTCTCTACTTTAAAGAGTCCTCTCCTGCTGATGTTCAGGTGTATATCAGTATGTAGTGTCTCTACTTTAAAGAGTCCTCTCCTGCTGATGTTCAGGTGTATATCAGTATGTAGTGTCTCTACTTTAAAGAGTCCTCTCCTGCTGATGTTCAGGTGTATATCAGTATGTAGTGTCTCTACTTTAAAGAGTCCTCTCCTGCTGATGTTCAGGTGTATATCAGTATGTAGTGTCTCTACTTTAAAGAGTCCTCTCCTCCTGATGTTCAGGTGTATATCAGTATGTAGTGTCTCTACTTTAAAGAGTCCTCTCCTGCTGATGTTCAGGTGTATATCAGTATGTAGTGTCTCTACTTTAAAGAGTCCTCTCCTGCTGATGTTCAGGTGTATATCAGTATGTAGTGTCTCTACTTTAAAGAGTCCTCTCCTGCTGATGTTCAGGTGTATATCAGTGTGTAGTGTCTCTACTTTAAAGAGTCCTCTCCTGCTGATGTTCAGGTGTATATCAGTATGTAGTGTCTCTACTTTAAAGAGTCCTCTCCTGCTGATGTTCAGGTGTATATCAGTATGTAGTGTCTCTACTTTAAAGAGTCCTCTCCTGCTGATGTTCAGGTGTATATCAGTATGTAGTGTCTCTACTTTAAAGAGTCCTCTCCTGCTGATGCTCAGGTGTATATCAGTATGTAGTGTCTCTACTTTAAAGAGTCCTCTCCTGCTGATGTTCAGGTGTATATCAGTATGTAGTGTCTCTACTGGGACATGTCTCCATGCTTTAATGTTCAGAAAGCTGCAGCACCTCTTTTCACCCTCTGTCTGAAACCAGAGCCCGGTCTGCTCTGATTGGTTAGCTGGCCGGCTCTGTTGTGATTGGTCAACCGCTTAGAGATGTCCCGCCCCTTAGCCTATCACATACAATGTGTTGGAGCGCTAGCCAATAGGAGCGCGAGTGTTCCGTAGTGATGTCACTGTGTTCTGGATCTTTGTTATTTTAGCCTTTGCAGACCCTTTATATGCACTGAAAACGTATAGAACCGATACAGGAGAGGGAACACTATAAAAAGTATAACAATTTCAGTTTTCAATTTGCAGAGATGAATAGGTGATTTTTCTTTGACACGGTGGATGCACACGTTCCCACAATGCACTGCAGTCTGTCTTTAAAGTCCCATCAGCTCTGCTGTCATACAGACAGATTAGCAGCTCTCCATGCGTGAAAACATCATGTCGGATAAAAAATAAAAAAACAGCTGTTTCTAAAACTGAATCAAAGTGTACATTTGTTCTTTCTACGTGTCGGAAACCTGCGACATTATTGCTTTTCTAAACGAAGGCCGCCATTGGATGATTGACAGTCCTCATTCGACGATGTAATTATATTTCACAACCGCAGCTTGAAGAATGACTTCGCCTTCAATTGTGTGTGTGTGTGTGTGTGTGTGTGTGTGTGTGTGTGTGTGTGTGTGTGTGTGTGTGTGTGTGTGTGTGTGTGTGTGTGTGTGTGTGTGTGTGTGTGTGTGTGTTTTAGCATTAGAAAGCAAACCTTGCCTGGAGGTATTAACCGAGTCAGGGCTCATTACACACACACACACACACACACACACACACACACACACACACACACACACACACACACACACACACACACACACACACACACACACACACACACACACACACACACACACACACACACACACACACACACACACACACACCTCTCTTTTCGTTCACCTTTTTCATTTCTTCGTCCGCTCAACCGTAAAATCCATTCAATCTTTTTTTTTACATTCCCAGGATGTACATTCAAAGAAGTGAACACTCACTAAGAGTAAAGTTTATTTATATGGAAACAAGGCACATCAAAAAACATAAAGGTATTTAAATACATGTTTCCAGTCTTTGTGCTAAGCTACGCTAATCATCATATTGATTGACAAATATATGAGTGGATTTTTTACTTTTTACTGCTTTTATTTTACATTTTGATCACTAGTTACTTTACAAATTAAGATGTTACCACTACTTATCAGTGTTTCTAGTAAGTTAATGTAGCCAAGTACTCTACTTAAGTACAATGATGAAGTATTTGTACTTTGCTTGAGCTTTTAATTCCACTTTATACTTTAACTAACAGGTAATATTGTCCTTTTTACTACATTTTGAGTTACTCGTTACTTAAGATACCAGTACATTTAGATTTTAAATTAATTTCTTACATTTTTCTCAATAACATTACATGTGAGAGATAATTCATTGTCACATATAAACATTCAGGTAATCTTCTGCTTTATTTTTCATGATGTTAAGGGTTTTGTTGTTTGATTTTATTTATTTTAGATTTTTCCGAACGTATACTTCTACATTACTTATTTTAAGTACATTTGCTGAACTTACTTTTACTTAAGTAACATTTCCAATAAATTACTTGTAACAGAGTATTTTTACAGTGGGATATCAGTACTTTTATTTCCGTGAAGGTTCATAATACTTCTTCCATCACGGCTAATGAGACACTCTAAAAAAAAGAGGGTAAACAAACCCAAACCGTCACAAACAATAAGTATTGGGATTGTTCTCCCATTAGCGATGATGTGAGTCAGCTAGCATAGCGGTTCGATACCCAGTAGCCTAAGTTCAATCAGAAGCAGCTCATCCATTTAAAACCCATTACACATGCACGCACACACACACACACACACACACACACACACACACACACACACACACACACACACACACACACACACACACACACACACACACACACACACACACACACACGCACACACACACACACACCTTGCTGTAGTCATGTGTCGTTCTCCTTCATGAATGACATTAATAACCTCCTTTGTGCATTGACCCACATTTCTTAATGGCTCCTCTAATATGTTGTGAATTTATAACGACACCTCTAATATATTCTTAATGACCTTCTTGTATTTCATTTCATTGTGTGTGTGTGTGTGTGTGTGTGTGTGTGTGTGTGTGTGTGTGTGTGTGTGTGTGTGTGTGTGTGTGTGTGTGTGTGTGTGTGTGTGTGATGGATGTGGTCAGGTGTGTGTAACGCCACCCGCCCCCCTGTTATATCTTAGCAGTAGTTGATGATGATGTTTAGCATGTGATATATAATGTTGCACGGATTACATATTTTTTGTAGGTCAATATTGAAGTTAGCATCACCTTGGTTACCTTGGGGAGAAAAATTGATTTTTCCATTTTAATTTGTCAGAAATGACATCAAGACTCAAGGCTTTCTCATCATGTGCTCAGCAGCTACAGTGTAGATATGTCAATGAAACACTGAAGTCCCAGGCTCCTCCATCAGAGCAACATGAATATATATATAGGACATAGAACTAATAAAACAGATAAAATAGTGCATGAGAATGTTTTGAGATGTGCAAGTAAATACAAATAAAATAGAAATAGTTGCAAGAAGAGTCTAGATACAAGTAAATGGAATATAATATGTAGATAAATAATTAGCAAGATGCAAACAGATGAATGTTATGGATGTTCTTTACAGAGTTCAGGTGTTTAATAATCGTATTGCCTGTGGAATAAAAACTGTCTCTGAGTCTGGTGGTTTTAGTCCTGATCCATGAGGAAAAGAGAACAATTTCAAAGAAAGGACTTACTTTGTTTATTGGGCCTTTGAGGAAGTCTTAACCTAGCATTGGTGAGTACGGATGGAACCAGCTAATAATATAAAGGACTCATGTTGAGCGTTTACTTTTGAATAGTCCTATTTACGACACGTAAAAGCTTCAGAAATCACGAGTTAGGGTATTTACTAACCAATAAACACAGCAGCATAATAATAAAACAGTACACTAACAGTGCAGTAAAAAGAGCAATTCAATAACTACAAGAAACATAGACGGTCAAATAATTAATATCATGACTTTGGTGGTAATGTCGTAAACAAAAATTACTTGGCAAAGTAAAAGACATTTACAGGAATGAAAAACAAAACCGTATGTGACAGGCTTCCTGCCAGCACCGCCCAGACTGGTTCACCTGCATAGAAGAGGTGAAACTACAGAGTGCTAAATGCTTCATTCTGTGCAACACCAACAGAGCAGAAGTCCTGCATAAGGAAAATAAAATAACTTCTTTTAAATCTTGCAAAAACAAACAATTTCCCAAGAAAGAACTTACTTTGTTCATTGGGCCTTTGAGGGAGTCTTAACATAGCGTTGGTGAGTACAGATCGGACTTTTTATACCAGTAACGTATGAAATACTGTTTGGAAATATGCATGTCGGTAAAAAATTGTGCTTTAAGAAAAATGATGTTGTTTTCTGCGGGGTAATATATCAATAATTCAGCATTGAAACTGGAAAAAAGTATGTTTATTTATTTTAAGGCACATCTGTATTGATCCCCGCATAATTTAAAGGAAACCTATCATGCTATATTTAAATGATATATTGTAGGGCCATACCTATATAAGGTATATTTATACGTTTCTGTTTTCAAAACACCAAACAGATCATGCATTTTAGCCATGCCTCATTTCGCTCTATGTGCTGTTTGCTGTCTACGGGTCTGATTCTGCTGACCACGCCCCCCTGCAGGAGAGGGGAGACGTGCTCTGATCAGCTGCTGGGCTGTCAGAAGAGGGGGAGAAAAAGAGATCTCCGTCCTCCGTGTTTTATTATATAGAGTCGTTATTCATTTGTTTTAAAGCTCAATAAATAACAAAGAAGACCTTTGACCGGCACTTTTCTAATTTTGTCCGGAAGATTTAAACTTTAACGGACATCTTGACCGGCGAAAGAAACTGAAACTGAAACTCTGCCGCACGGTCCCCTCGTTCCTTGGAAGAGGCGGAGAGGTGGGTGTTTGTCATCTGCTGGTGGACTAACCGGAGAGAATTACAGTGCTTGCCTCGACGGGGAGGGATTGCATTGAATTAAAGCAGCGGGAGCAAACGCTTGCCTCGGGGAGGGAGAAAGAAAGCCACAGCGGAGAATAAACAGAAGGGTAACCATGGTAACCAAGTCTTCTTCGCTGCTTTTGTGGCAGACTACAGCGACACTTACAGGCCTGGCATATGTACTACAGCGTCTCCAGCGCTTTCGAACGGCAATGGCCGTGGCTGTCTCCTCCTGATTGGTGGAGTTGGCCCAATAGCCGTAGCGCCACCGTCCTGACGTCAGGACAGTGTTCAAATCTGGATCAGTTTTTATCAGATCCGTTGCAGCCCCTTTTTTAGAGATTTGGGTATGGAGGAAAATAGAGAGGGTTGTGTTTTCTGACACTTGGTGAGTTCCCTGGAACACCGGGGACACATATTCATGTATAAAAGACGTACAACAGTGCATTTTGCATGATAGGTCCCCTTTAATATGAGGATTATTGCTGTTGGTATATTTAGGTCGTAGGTTATAAAAGATACAGGGTCAAAATGTTTGAAATAGGCTGCAAGTCCGCTCTAAGATAATCATTTTTGACGAAGTATTTACGCAGCATTGGTGAGTAAATTTGGGACTTTGTATCGTTTAAACAGTCATCAGTAACGTATGAAATACAGGCTGTCAAGGGCAGGCTTTACTGTTTTGATTGTGTGCTTACAACAAACACTTATGCATGTTGGTACATTGTGCTTGAAGAAAAATGATGTTGTTTTTTGGGTGCATACATAAAAGTAAAACAAAAATAGAAAACACAGAGAGAGAGCTATTTCAAGAAGATGCTGTTTGATCAGTGTTTTAATGTCAATCTTTACTTTTGGGTTTTAGCGTATCAAAATGTCTGCTGCCAACTGTTTCCTGTCTGAAGACCAGCTTCTGTGCGGCATCTGTCTGGATGTGTTCACCGATCCGGTCACGATACCATGTGGGCACAACTTCTGCCAAAAGTGCATCAAGCAGCACTGGGACAGCAACAGCAAGTGTGAGTGCCCAACATGTAAATATCCTTTCTACAAAAAGCTTGATCTGCGAGTCAATAATTTCATATCTGAGATGGCAGCGCAGTTCAGCAGATCTAGAAGCGACAGCTCAGATCAGCAACTCGCAAAACCAGGAGAAGTTCCCTGTGACATCTGCACTGAAACCAAATGGAAAGCGGTGAAGTCCTGCCTGGTGTGTTTGGCCTCGTATTGCGACAATCATCTACAGTCCCATCTGACGGTTCCCTGCCTGAAAAGACATCAGCTGACGGATCCTGTGGAGAATCTGGAAGGTAGGATGTGTAAAATACACGAAAAACCTCTGGAGCTCTTCTGCAAAACAGACCAGATCTGTGTTTGCATGCTGTGCCCGGTTCTAGACCACAAATCACATGAAGTCATTCCTCTGAAAGAAGAATTTGAGAGAAAGAAGGCCGACCTGGGGAAGACGGAGACTAAAATCCACCGGAAGATCGAAGAGAGACGGCTTAAGATCGAAGAGTTCAAGAACTTGGCGAATGTCAACAAGGAATCCGGAGACAGAGAAAAGGCGGACGGTGTTCAGGTCTTCAATGCATTGATTCAGTCTTTGGAAATATCTAAAGCCGAGCTCATCGAGGAGATCGAAGCCAAGCAGAAAGAGACGGAGAAGAAAGCCAAAGCATTCATTGGAGAACTGGAGCAGGAGATCTCAGAGTTGATCAGAAAGCGAGCTGAGGTGGAGCAGCTCTCACGCTCCAAAGACTACGTCCACGTCCTGCAAAGCTTTGCCTCGTTGAAAGCTTCGGCACTCACAAAGGACTGGACAGAAGTCAGCATCGATCCACCATCTTATGAAGGGACTCTGAGGAATGCTTTGGATCAACTGGACGAGACTTTGGGCAAAGAGATGGAAAAGGCGCTCCAAATAGCCGAGCTAAATCGGGTCCAGAAGTGTGCGGTGGACATGGTTTTGGATCCTGATTCGGCTCATCATGCTCTCATGATTTCTGCCGATGGAAAACAAGTTCATCATGCCGTCGTGAACAAGACACTCTCCAACACTCCTAAGAGATTCAACCCAAGTTGTTGTGTCTTAGGGAAAGAGGGTTTCTCCTCTGGGAAGTTTTACTTTGAGACAGTGGTCAGAGAGAAGACCAGATGGACTGTAGGAGTCGCCAAGGAGTCCATCAAGAGGAAGGGAATCATCCCGCTGAGCCCAGAGAACGGCCATTGGACCATTTGGTTGAAAAATGGAGATGAATACGCCGCTCTTGTTGGCTCGCCTCTCAAACTCTCTCTTGATTCAAAGCCTCAGAAGGTGGGAGTGTTTGTGGATTACGACAAGGGTCTAGTCTCGTTTTATAATGTTGATACTGCAGATCTACTCTACTCCTTTGCCGGCTGCTCTTTTACTGAGAAAATCTACCCATTCTTCAGTCCTGGGCTCAATGATGACGGCATCAACTCAGTCCCTCTGAGGCTTTCTAGCGTCGGTCACTAAACATGAATCTGTGTTGGGGTTTTTACAAATGCAGGATCAAATGTGCCTTGTAGGATGAAGTGTCTTTCTTAACGTGTTCAAAAAGGCCTTCTTTGGTCTATATATACTAGGGCTGTCAAGTTAACGCGTTAATAACGCGTTAACGCAAAAAAAAAATTAACGCCACTAATTATTTTAACGCGATTAACGCATGTGTATTTTTTGTCCTCGGCCGCCGTAGTTTCAGAGCGCATCGAGTTTAAAATACCATCTACAAGCTGATGCTGACAGCCCCGCTCCTGCTGCCCGCTGTGGCAGACCACACTTCCACGCTCACCGGCAGGCCCGGACTGGCCATCGGGAGGACCGGGAGGGTGTGTGTATGTGTGGCGCGAGCGAAGCACACCTTACGTGTTGTTGTTAGCATCTGGTGCTAGCTAGCTGAGCTAACGGATATAAGGAGCTGTTTCAATGAAAACAGAGGAGCGACATTTCGCCGACAACTGCGCCGAGCACTTGACTTTATGCAGGTAGCCAGACAGCACACTCAGCACGGATAGTGCCGCAACACAGCTCATACACACAGGCATATATGCCTTGAGCTGCACATAGCTCCAACGATCCTCCACATTCACACACACACACACACACACACACACACACACACACACACACACACACACACACACACACACACACACACACACACACACACACACACACACACACACACACACACACACACACACACACACACACAGTATTGTATGAGAGAGGTTCTAGGTTGAATTGAGGCTAATATTTGTAATGTTCAGGTTGTTGTGTTTAATATTCATGAGAATATTTGTCATTGTTCAAATGATAATAAACAAACATATAAAGCATAGTTGTACACTCATATGTTGATAAGAGTATTAAAAACTTGAAAAATATCCCTCTAAGGTACATTTAGAACAGATAAAAAATGTGCGATTAATTTGCGATTAATCGCGATTAACTATTTTAATCGACTGACAGCCCTAATATAGACAAATATATAAGTTTGAAAAAACCTTTTGGAGTTGGTGTTCTGCAGACATTTTGGCCATACCAGAAAAGAACATGTGTTACTAATAACATGAATGATTCCTGTATTATAGCAGCACTCAGTATGATTTTGATGTTACACAACATATTATTGCACCTGTGGTTTTGTGGTGTTTGTAAAATGTTGTTTGACTAGACTCTTTCACAGCAGACATTTGACTTTTCATAACAGGAGGTGTTACTTATAATAATATTTCAATTATTTTCAAGTGTTCCACTAAGCCATGACAGTGTGACATTTGTCCAAAATGCATAAAAGAAGAACTCTGAAACTGAGGCAATAATTGGACTCCAGCCATCCATAATTTAATGATTTACGCCTCTGATTTTCCTGCTGTGACGTGTCAAAGTCTCCTCATTTAAAGAAGACCTAATGGTGTTTACTCGCACACTCACTCGCTTTATTTTCCATGTTTTCGACAGTACTTTAGTGACGACAGGCCGAGATTCTTACCACTAATTGACTTTTCGCAAATACAGCAACATTCATTTTTCTTGGGTATCTTAAAGGGACCTCAACTTGCTTTTCGTTGTGCAGCCGTTTGTTGCAGAATGGTCTTAAATGAATATTGACTCTGATTGGAGAGGTTAGTTCCTTTAAGGTGACGGTTACTGTCATTTTAAGGTGTCAATCAACTGCTTGTTCTTTTGTAATCTGGACCGTCTGCATTGCTCAACGCATCGTCACCTTCTGTTTATAATAACAGAAGGTCACCACACCTGCAAATCAATGCCAATGCCAATTCTCTTTGAGGACAGATATGAAGTTGTTTGCATTCCTTAACTCCATTGTTTCGCTTTCCTCTTAATGTCATATCTTGTATTTTAAATAAGACTCTTGCTGCTGCCGTTTGTACCAGAAGGAGAAATACATTCGAGGCAAGAATGCAGTCAAATGAGATGAGATACAAGCATTGATAACTTTGTTTTCATAAGGTTTTAAAAGATGTAACAAGGGTATCTGTGTAAGGGTTCAACAGACGTCAGAGTTAAATGGTATCCAGATTTGGAGCTACATAATTTCAACTGTGAAAAGCAGATTATTGGTGCCAAAGGAAGTTACCTCGAACTTAATCTGGTAATAATATTACAGTAAAAAGATATCCACAGCGTCGAGACTGATCAAATAAGCAGCAAGTGGGTTTATCTCTATAAGAACAAGGGGCTTCATGCAAGAACATGTTTGTATTCTTTCTGAAATACATTTTACATAAAGTTCATATTAAAAAAATTCTCTAAAAATGAAAGCAGTCAGTAATTAGACAGGAGGAAATAAAAAAAAGAATTATGATGTGAAAATATGAAAAGAAAAGGAAAATCTAAATATTATACACTATCTATCATTTAAGCGACCTGCGTAAAAATCCCTAAGGAAGTGGTTGAATTGTTATAGTTGTTGTATAAACTGTAGCCTGTAACAGATTGTTATACAAATGAATTCCAATTTTGCAATTCAATTAAAATTCCAGGTAAAGTCAGATAAAGGCTTTACAAATATTAAACAAAAGAGTATTTGTACAAGACATGTTCAGTAAGTGTGTCGTATGTGTTTGGAAACAGAATAAGAACATCCCACTGAGCTTCTGGTACGCCAGGTTTTGATTACCAATTAGCAGGGGAACAATTGTTTGTTATTTGTTTTTCCACTAATAAATTAAGGATGATAAACCAACTTGGTCTTTATTGGTCCATTTCTAGCCCCGTAAAGGCAACATAATGGTGTTTTCTGTGAGCGTTGGCAGCTGGGAGCTTTATGTACAGTAATCTCTGGCAAAAGGCCCGTAGTGAAACCGCCTCAGGCTGACTCGCATGTGGAAGAAAAAAACAGTTTCCCACATGCTGCCTCCGGGAGGAAATACAAATTAAAGCAACAACCTCCAACATTAGTTTTTCCCTTTGGTTTAATTAGTCACCATTTTTTTCTGCCGATAAATGTTTGGATGATACCTGGAAGCTTAATTAAAGCCGATAACGACGTTCAAACACTTAAACCAGAACATAAAACCAATAAACTGCGATTGAGATGCATTTAACTCTTAGGAACATATTCATTTGTTTGTAAAAGACTAACCAAGGCATACTAGATTGGTGGTATTTCGGGAAAATGTGAATGTTTTTTCAGGGTTTATAATATAATTCAGGTTTGCTGAATCCAATAAACCCGTTTCCCAGGCTTTATTTTGCGTTTTTGACCATCTAATTTGCATAAACCAAATGGCTTCCACATTTTTGACCTTTTTTTGACTCCAAATCAGTGGTTTAATTTACATAAAATCTTTGTTCTGCTATATTTCTGCAAGCAACAGGACAAATGCAGTGTCTTTACTTGTGTTTTAAAGATTATTATTAGGCCAGTTTTAAACATAAATACAGAAAATAAATCTAGTTTTGCTTTGCACAGATATTGAAGAAAACAAATTTTTTCTGTAATTTCTGCATCTCATTTGCATATTTATGAGTCTTCTTTACTACTGATGGCTGTAATTGTGAGGTATGGGCACTTGTCATTTCTGCTTGACTAGTTACAGCACATGAATAATATATTCAACGTAAGGTCCAAAATATGCAATTTGGCAGCCACTTTGTCAAATTAGATCGTCAAAAACTCAAAACGTAGCTCTGGAACCGGGTTTATTGGATTCAGGATACCTTCATTATGTTAAAAAGATTAGTTCCAGTCTTTACCCAAAAACGCAAACTGTGTACAGAGCCTTTTTTCAGAAATCCACATCCTCTATACTGGAGAGAAAATAAAACACTGCAGCATGAACTCATCCGTCAGAGAAAAGGTCTGAGAGTTTAATCTCTGTCACAGACTCACCTGCACAGCTTGGTTCATGCTTTCACAACAGATTTAAAAGAGCATTTGTTTCGTTGTGTTTGATTAACCTCCACCAATAAACCAGCGGGGATCTAACCTGAACTCTGAGGTGAGAAAGACATACATGCTAATCGCTAGATGCTCTTCAAGATGCTCCATCAAACACCCTGTCTTATTTATGTGATTTTACACACGTAATAATGTCATTTATTTCTTCTTCCCCAGTTTATTCACACCAATATGATCCGTGGATATGAATGTCTGAGCCTGGATCATAAAGACATCAACACACTGTTCTCTGGGTTGTACTGCCCTCTAGTGTCTGCTGCTTTATCCTGGAAGAAAAAGTGACCTAAAGTACGAGGACACATCAACAATACACCCACATTCTGGTTTCACGCTTCCCAACAGATTTTGGAAACTGGCTGTAGGGTTTTTCTAATCATCATGACAAAAGTAGAACACATGCATTTGTTCGAGTATAGTCTGTGCAAAAGAACAATAAAATACCCCTAAAGTATTTCTCCTTTCAGAGTAAACACAGGTGTAACTGATTACATGAATTAGCACTCCTCCCTTTGCTCAGGTGTTCCTGATCTGCTCTGATCACATTGGAAAATCTGGAGAAGCAAGATCTTTCAATCAATGACAGCAATACTGGAAAAGCTCAATAAAGGGAAGGCATCTATATTCAATACAAAGCAAGGCTAGGGTTTTAAAGGTCTATTATACTGTTTTTCATCAATATATTATAGGTCTCAGATATATACAGAACATGTCTCTGATTGGCTGAAACACCAAACAGATCATTGCAGCATCCCATAATCCCCTCTGTTTCAGCCCTGTTTCAAAAGTGCTGATTCTCTGGCCGTTTCTCAATCGCGAGGATGCTTGCTTGGTAGCACAGCCGAGCCGAGCATCTTGCTTCAGAAGCGAGGCAAGAATACTTCCTGGCATTCGGAAAACGAAGAGTGGAACAGGCTAGCAAGTGTGCAGGTGTGCGTCATATGCAGTGGCGGCTGGTGGAAAATATTTTAGGTGGGGCTGTGGAAATGGTGATCAAACAATACTAGAGGGGTCCGGGGGGATGCTCCCCCGGTAATTTATTTTCAGAAAAGACCCCTTAAATCATGACTTCTGGTGATGTTAGAGGGGGGAGAAGGACAATTTGAGGCTTAAAAATATGAGAAGACTGATCAATACCTCCATAACTTCAGTGTGGTTAGCTATGAATCTTCTAAAACTTCCAAACACCTTGTCCTGGACATAGTTTCTACAGCATAAACTGTGCAACAGTACAGTAGGCCCACACAAACTGCAGAACACCGGGGCTTTGGGAACACTGATTTAATTCCCATTTAACCTGTTAAGGGGCTTTTTTCCCCCGTTTTTTTTCTCACGAAACTGTGTCTCAGGGCTTCTTAAAATGTAATAAACTATTCATGTGTCCTACTCAGAGGAAACGCATCTAACTGATGATATGAACCATGTTTACCGAAACAAAACACAAGTCTCACAAGAAGCGTCTAAATGAGCCCTGAGCAAAAAAATGCTAACGCACTCTAGGTATAAATCAATCGATATACTTATCGGATATGCACAAACAAGTTTACAAGCTGAGATTCCACATATTCTAGAAATATAAGTATCATCACTGAGCGATCAGAACTCGCGACAGGGGAAGCAAATACAGACATCACACGACGTAGCTTTAGGTAGCAAAACATGGAGATATGCTCACCTTTTGCAGAACAACAATTCTGATCAAAAACGAGAAAAACTAAACTTAAAAATAAATTAAAAAATATATATATTTTTTTATTTATTTATTTTTTATTTTTTATGGGCCGGCCGCCACTGGTCATATGAGAGGCCCCGCCTTACATCTTCCGCCACAGATTTGGGGAAATTGGTCCATGCGCAAAGCATTGTGGGGATTTTAAGGATGCGAAGTCTACCCATGTGCAGCCTCGAAATTTCCCCCAAACCAAGGACGCGGCCTCGGTGGAATTCCAAGTATGCTGGAGATTGGAACAGTCCTTCGGCGGCACTCGATGACGTAGCATCCTTGAAATATTGGCTTGGAAGCCAATATCCTCGCGATTGAGAAACGGCCCCTGTCTGTTACTTTAGATGAAAATAAGGAGCCCCTCCCCACGCCCCTCTGAGAGATATTTGGTTACAAAGAACTCAATGGTGCTCTAGAAGGAGATTCAGGTGATAAGGGGGGGGGTTACCTTGGTTGCTGATTGGCTAATGGTTACACAAGACACAAAACATCGTTATGACATCATAAAGTGGCCAAAATCTGATCAGCTCATTTTCAGACAGGTTTTTATATAAATGGATCAAAAAGAGAGAGAATCTTTGTTCCTGAAACTTTCAGAGTCTCTTTACACCGAGGGGACACATGTTGATGTAGAAGAGACATGAAGAAGAGGGGACACATGTTGATGAAGAAGAGACATGAAGAAGAGGGGACACATGTTGATGAAGAAGAGACATGAAGAAGAGGGGACACATGTTGATGTAGAAGAGACATGAAGAAGAGGGGACACATGTTGATGTAGAAGAGACATGAAGAAGAGGGGACACATGTTGATGAAGAAGAGACATGAAGAAGAGGGGACACATGTTGATGTAGAAGAGACATGAAGAAGAGGGGACACATGTTGATGAAGAAGAGACATGAAGAAGAGGGGACACATGTTGATGTAGAAGAGACATGAAGAAGAGGGGACACATGTTGATGTAGAAGAGACATGAAGAAGAGGGGACACATGTTGATGTAGAAGAGACATGAAGAAGAGGGGACACATGTTGATGTAGAAGAGACATGAAGAAGAGGGGACACATGTTGATGTAGAAGAGACATGAAGAAGAGGGGACACATGTTGATGTAGAAGAGACATGAAGAAGAGGGGACACATGTTGATGTAGAAGAGACATGAAGAAGAGGGGACACATGTTGATGTAGAAGAGACATGAAGAAGAGGGGACACATGTTGATGTAGAAGAGACATGAAGAAGAGAGGACACATGTTGATGTAGAAGAGACATGAAGAAGAGGGGACACATGTTGATGTAGAAGAGACATGAAGAAGAGAGGACACATGTTGATGTAGAAGAGACATGAAGAAGAGGGGACACATGTTGATGTAGAAGAGACATGAAGAAGAGGGGACACATGTTGATGTAGAAGAGACATGAAGAAGAGGGGACACATGTTGATGTAGAAGAGACATGAAGAAGAGGGGACACATGTTGATGTAGAAGAGACATGAAGAAGAGGGGACACATGTTGATGTAGAAGAGACATGAAGAAGAGGATTTTGCATAATAGGTCCCCTTTAAGAAATATAGGAGCAGTGTGGAAAGGTGAAGTCGTAGCGAGCAGGTTAATTGAACACAGCAATCTTAATAGTACACTAATAAAATACTCAGCAAAGACAGGAAGTTATGACAAGGCTAAGGAACGTGGGAATGGTTGAGCACAACGTTGGAAATATATTGGAATTTGGAGAAAGCACTCAGTATTGAGGAACAGTCAAAATCCAGAAGGAGGCAGTAGTGTAACACTGTGGATGCAAACGGCTGTAAAACACCAAAGAAGATGAATCGTCTTTCCCTTTTTGTTGGATTCTGGTACTCAAAAAGTCAAAATAGTGCCAAATATAACTGCTAATGATATTTAGGAGATCTGAAATGAAATCAGTTTAACAGCAAGGACTAATGAAATCCACATAAAGAGTAGAGTTTATAACTAAATTATTAACTAAAGTCTGTAAAATGTTCCCGGCAACTTTAGAAAACATGTTATTTTTTCCAGGTTTAGATGAGGACACACTGGACTCAATGATAATCACTGAGTCTAAAGCAATGGGAAGAGAGTGGAGCACAAAAGGGTTATTAAAGATCAGGGAATAACAACTTCAGGTCCGAATGGATTTATTCAAATATCACAACAATACAGGTTTAATATCTAGAATAAAGGTTTGTTTGTTTTATCCTCAGAGTAATCATCTTTCAGGCATGACGTTACACACTCTGGACAGTAGGTGGCGGCATTCACCTTAAACTGTTTACTAATGATAACTTCAGATATGTCTTACAATCACTGACCATCGAAACATCGATATGGACACTTCATTTGTAATATTTCATAGAGTTAAAGGTAGGGTAGGTAATTTTGGAGAAACCGGCTCGAGTGCGCTCAAATTTGAAAATACACAGCCGGAACAAATCTGCCACTTCCTCACAGAGCCCCTCCTCCAACACACACGAACGCGCACATGACCAATGAGGGCACGAGATAAGTTTGTGCACAGATGGAAGGCTGACAGGCAGGTAGGCCATCCAATCATTTTAGCCGGGCCGGCTCAGATGATTGGTCGTACTTTTTACAGTACCACAGCTTCCACAGATGATATTTATTTATGTATTTTTTGTCAAAGCACTTCAGATATTCATTGCTATCGGGATGTTAAGAGCATTCCATGGAATATAACAAAAAGTGTATCTCCAGCCGGTTTCTCAAACGTACCTACCCCACCTTTAAAGGTTAAATTGGCAAGAATTTTTTAAGCAAATTAGATGATCATAAACGTACAAATAAAGCGTGGGAACTGGGTTTATTGGATCCAGAAGACCTCCTGGTTCCTGACATTTACCCAATATCACTATTCTATAACTATAATACAGCAAACGACCAAAACACACAAGAGCGATTAAAAAAATAAAGGTTTTGCATCTCAAGTTACATTCTCCACAGTACAAAAAGCTGAAAGTAAAGAAGCATGTCAGGAGAAGATATAATATGAAAGGTAAAGTAAGGCCTCCAGTTAAAGGTCAGAGGTCAAGAGAGGAGCTTTCTCTAGTAGGTCTTCATGGCCATGGACGATCCTCCGCTGTCGTGCTTTCTGATCTGATGGATCATCAGGATGCTCATCAGCAGGCCCAGCAGCTGGAAAAAAGACAGGAAGACGGTTAAAAAACGGACCAATCAGAAGACACTATTGCAGAAGAGAGAAATAAAAAGGTAAGCAACTTTAAAATCCACATATTTTTACCCCATGAAGCGTTTTACCTCATAACTAACTTGCTCGGAATTAATAACAACAAATTCTACATTTACTTCGGTTATTTTGAGGTCCAAAAGCAACATTAAAGGTGGGGTAGGTCATTTTGGAGAAACCAGCTCGAGTGCGCTAGAATTTGAAAATACAGTCGGAAAAAATCTGCCACTTCCTCACAGAGCCCCTCCTCCAACACACACGAACGCGCACATGACCAATGAGGGCACGAGATAAGTTTGTGCACAGATGGAAGGCTGACAGGCAGGTAGGCCATCCAGTTATTTTAGCCGGGCCGGCTCAGATGATTGGTCGTACATTTTTTTATGGATTTTTTGTCAAAGCCCTTCAGATATTCATTGCTATCGGGACAAACAAAAAGTGTATCTCGAGCCGGTTTCTCAAACTTACCTACCCCACCTTTAACATTGCTGTTAAATCAAATCCAATCATCAACAATAGGGTAAATTCAGACCCCTCTTTAATATTATTTTCTTTTTTATTATTCATTTATTTAACAGGGACATTGATCAACATTTCTGTAAATGTGCCAGAGTTAGCCAAGAGGCTATTTTTCATCTGTAGTCCCTGGAAAGATTTTCTAAGTCTTATTATACTTAATAAAAAAAACTAAAACAGAACAATTAAACAAAACAATTAAAAAAAATAAAATAAAAAAGTATTCCAGGAAGTATTGTGTTGAACAAACCCAACCTATTAATCATTGTATCCAAGGTTTGGTTATTTTTTTGTAATCTCCTATAATCAATAACCTATAATCAATAAACAATCGGTATTAGTATACCATTAGATTATCTGTTATTGATGGAGAGTAACCAGGGAAGTTAGCTGAAATTTGCTGACACAACGACTTCTTAAGACCTCAAAATGTTAGGTTTAGAACTTTGACCGAAGACTAGGAGAACTTTGTGAATTGCTAGTTCATTTTTTAGGTCCATTGAATTAGTTAGACCTTCAATAAAATGGAATAGCAAAGCAATGTGTCGAAGTCAACCCGAGCTGTAGCAAAGTTCATATTTTCATAATTTAGTGTTACGGTTGGGGGCAAAACGCTGCTGAATGGTGCCGAATCCATCAACACGGACAAAAAAGAAGAATAAATAAGAAACTTACTGCGAGGACTGCAAACGTGAAGAAGATGCCCATAATGATCTTGAAGATGATGTTGAAAAACTCAAAGAGAACACTGCTGCAGCTCTGCAGGAGAAAAAGATGGAGAAAGGGTCATTATCTGGAAACGTCACAGGAAGGAGAACTGGATGGTGTCTTGGTTAATTGGTTAATTGATTGAATACCGTCGCGTAGATCTCGTCTGGGCCTGAGGCTCCCTGCAAGAAAAACAAAGGTACAGAAAGTCAAAAACAAGTGTTCAAGAACAGCTATAAATGCATTTGAACAGAAGTGAACCACACATCGTAAAGAGGAGGTCATTTAAGGCATCCCAATCCCTTAATAAACCTTTACTGTATTAACTAAACCTGTAAATACATGAAAGCCCTGGGTAATGCAACAGTTCATCTTTAAGATTATATTGTATGTGCTGATCCTGTGATGATAACTCCTTCTTGCTTTACTCAGACAAGTTTTACTTTCTAAGCAATACTGAGAACAGTGATTCATGAGGTATTACCCTCATGAATCACTGTTTAGAGTTTTAACGAAACTGCCATAGTGTTTTAGGGATATAGGATTCATTATCTTAATCTGTTCCTTATGTGGACAGAAGAAGCTCGAATGGCAACTCATAGACCATCCATGACTACCACCATTACCGAAAATCATATACAGCTTCCAGATTATTTGGTTTATTTAGTGAGGTAAAAGTGGCGTTAACTTTTGCACGAGAACTAAAAGGGGCTGACTGATTACCTATACAGTATATTTCTAAACCTGTTCCTTCAGTTTAATTTAACAAAACCTACCACAGGTTTGGCTTTACATCCAGACGAAAAGGGGAATCCTGTATATTGGTCCTTGCACCCACAGGACTGAGGGATGTCGTTTCCCCAGTCGTTGGAGCTGACCACACCACAGCAGTGGCCCTGAAAACATACGAGACAAAAGGTTACACAAGGTGGGAATTTAGCCTAGGAATGATCCATTTCCAATGCTTCTAATGGGTTAAGATAAGATAAGAAGTACTTAATGGATCCCAATTTGGGATTTGTTTGCATTGCAGCAGCAAAAAAAGACAAGGCAGTGTACATTAGAGAAATGAAAAGACTAGAAATAAACAATCCAAAATGTAAACATTTGAAATAAAAATAAAATAGCATTAAAAAAGTAGAAAATATACAAGTTGAAATACAAATTTACATTGACAAAATATAAAGCAGGAAATTATATATACAGTATATATTAAATTGAATATAAATGTAAAATGTACAGTGTGAGTTTTTATCAAATATGAATGTAACTGTAATGTAAGCATCAATGTACAACCCTTCATTTAAAAAATAAATCTGTTTACTTCCTCTAACGTACATTGGAAAGCATTCATCCTAGAAGAACCATGTTTTAAAATATAGGTGCTAGACTACATTTGAAAGAGTTTAAAAGTGCATTTACATGCTCTTCGAATCCCATTAGTATCACTCTCATTGCTTCGTCTTCCATGAAAGGCTTTGCTACTTCAGAGGAGGCGCTGTCCAAAGAATCCTTCAGCTATAAAACAACAAACAACAACATTAGCATCAAGACCGAGAGAGATGTTTTGAAGATTGTTAAGAAAGTCCAACCCAGTCTCACCGAAACTAATTTAATCTATTGATTCGTTTGACACGATTTTCGCATTTTTTTTCGTGTCACACAGAGCGATTTTAAAAGCAATGTATTTCTATTGGTAGTATGTTTCGTGCCTGCAATACGTCTTTTTGTCCGGTCGGGTCTTGGAAGACCGGAAGCTGTGTGGTTCATAAAAACATTTTCTTATATCTTACCCTAACCCTAACCCTATTATTTAAAATAGTATAATGTCGGAGTTTTTTTGCCGTCCGCGAGGAAAAGAAATGTCTCAGAGCCTCAGAATACTGACATCTGTATTTTTTGTCATCTTTTCTTTTCCTTCTAATTTGTTATTATTTGGTGCAGGCACGAAACATACTACCAATAGAAATACATTGCTTCAAAAATCGTTCTGTGTCAGAATACTGAAATCTGTATTTTTTTAAATGTCTTTTTCCTTCTAATTTGTTATTATTTACATTGCTTTTAAAATCGTTCTGTGTGACACGAAAAAAATGGCGAAATCGTGTTGGTGAACACGAATCAATAGATTAATTTCGTGACTATAACACGAAATGCCGTGAGACTGGGTTGGAAAGTCAACTTAAACTAGCATCAACTTCGAGCATCAACACCATTTAAAGAAAAGTGTAGTGTTGTAACATCTACTAGCTGAAAAGCTTGAATATACACTAGGCTTGTTTGAGACGAGCTGCGGCTCGCCTCGAAAGTAGACGAGAATAGCCGATCGCAGCCGGGGGAGGTCTCAAAAAGCTCGCCTGAAGTCGGACAGCTGGGCGTCGGCTTCTTCTTCTTCTTCTCTCGGTTTTTTGGCGGATTTCAAACAACTTTAAGGTGCATACTGCCACCTCCGGAGTCGGCTTGACTCGGTTTACATTTATAAATGCACACGGCATCTATTGCACGTCTGTCCGTCCTGGGAGAGGGATCCCTCCTCTGTTGCTCTCCCTGAGGTTTCTCCCATTTTCCCTTTAAACTGTGGGTTTTTCTCTGGAAGTGTTTCCTTGTATGATGTGAAACGTAAGGACAGAGGGTGTCGTATTGTCATACTGATATTCTGTACAAACTGTGAAGTCCACTGAGACAAATGTAACATTTGTGATATTGGGCTATATAAATAAACATTGATTGATTGATTGATAAAGAATGGACAAATGTGTTTAATCGTTAATGTCAGATATGTACTAAGTAAATACATTTGTTCCGGCTCAAGATTAGATTCAACTTTATTGTTATTGCACAGATTACAGGTACTGAGACAACGAAATGCAGTTTAGCTTCTAACCAGGAGTGCAACAAGCAGTAAAGTGAAAAGTAATGTACACAATCTACAGAATAAAATATAGAATGAATTGAATGATGAATACACAGTGAGGGGTATGAATACACTATATACAGTAGCCTAGCCTAGTATGAACAGTGTGTTGTATGAATATGCTAAGATATATAAAGTATGACAACGGTAAGCAGTGCAAGTATAGTATAAAATATATAGATATTAATTTCATGATGATAAACATTGTGGAACAATGATGAAAAATGTGAATGGAAGTGGCGACGTAAAACGGACACAAAACAACAACAAACCTTTGCCGAGCCAATGGAGAGTTTCATCTCCAGCACGGGGTAAAACCCACCAATGAGCGCTCAGCTCGAGATACCAGCGAGTCGTTTCCCATCAAGCATTTCGCTTCGGCAGCTCGTGGAGAGAAACTGCGCCGCCTCGCTCTCAAGTCTGCGGGAGTCTTTGTCCCGCGAGATTTCAACGTCTCATGTAGGCGAGCCTCCAGAGCAAGTCGGACAAAATGACTAACCATCATGCAACGCACGAGCAAGACGTTGATCGCAATTGCGCAGGTCTGCGCAGGTCTCGCTTGTCTCAAACAAGCCTATTGACAACATACATGATTGGATGTTTTAGCCGCAATGCACGTTGGGATATGGTGTTTATGCGATATGAAATCCGAAAACATAAAAAAAAAATAATAATACTTTATTCCGCGTGTTCTTGCTTTTCTCTTTGGAAGTCATCACATAAAGGCATTGTAATACACGGTTCGGCTGCATTAAATATTACACATCTGCCGTAGTTATTTATAGAGCCCTGATTAGAAGACCTTTGGACAAACTGGAAGAACTGCCGCCGAAACTGAATACGTGACGTGGATCATAAATATATCAGCAATTAAACAACTTCAATTTCTCTTCACACAATACGTCTCCTTGCAGTATCAACATTAATTCAGTTGACTTTTATATTTGATCCTATTGGTAGATAGGTAGCAGTGCACAGCTGATAGAAAAGGACTTGTAGTTTTTAAAGATATTATTGATTTTCTTTGCATTAAAGAATGTAAATACTGAGTTGAGAGAATAGTCAGGGGTTTTGGGTGATGGGAGACACATCTATGGAATCACAATTTCAATAGCTTACCATTAAATGACGAATATACCTTTCTGTCTGTGATGTTTTACAAATCAGATATTATTGTGTAGAAGTAAAACATGTCAAATAATATAGCAATATCCTGTAAACTTATGTGAAAACATGAATAAAACTACACATCTTCAGATGTTATACATACACAAGTGTCCTACACTAATAATACAAAGTATAATTTGTTGTGTTAACACTGTAAACTTGACAGTTTACCAACCTAGTGGATAAAGCACGTTATTTAATTTTTTTGTTGAATATGTTATATTTGATGAAAAACATATTAAGAGTAAAAGTAGAAGGTCAATGATAGAAATATAGAATATAAAATATCAAGAAGATACTGTAAGTGATCTCTACAATAAAACAGTTTAGTGCCGGATGTATAAAGATATCAATAGGAGGATGTGCAAAACAGACCAACTAATTAACCTTTATTTAAACATTAAAGAATACTTTAGATTAAGGTCTTCTTTTAAATAAGAAAAAAGCTTTGGGGGTATCTACAGATACATATTAAGCCTGACAAAGTACTTAACGTCTAATATATTGCTTTCCTGCAATGTTAACTATGTTGAAGCACTTATTTTAACTGATATTATACATATTAATTATACTCTTGTAAGATGTATGTAGATCGTATAAGAAATGTGCAGAATATGTTTAATGGTGGAGGTACACAGATATCGATAGATGTCTTGTAATGCACTGTTGATGAACCTGTGACCCAAGTTTTTCATTCATTGCATAACTACACCGTAGTTGTGTATATGATATGTCAATAAACCTTAGAAAATCTTGAAATCTTGAAAGGGATGTGCAAAATAGCCATTATATACAGTTTTTAATTAACTATTAGTAGAGAATAACGAGTAATGAATATGTTTTATAGAGATCTGCAGATAAATGTTTAGTCTTCTCAAGCACCCACTACCAAATATCTCGCCTGATTGTTGGCACTTAACAATCACCTTCACTGAATTTTACTCAGGTGTAACTAAAGCCTGATTTAAGGGTTGTTTATATTTCACATCATTAATCAGAATCTGCAAAGTAACTAAAATAAATGTAGTGGAGTAAAAATACCAGGTTAACGTCTGAATTGTAGTGGAGTAGAATTACAAAGTAAAAATGAGCTGTCATGTGGGTATATATTAATGCTGCCCATTATGGACACAAGCGATTTTCACCCATTTATTAATTATATGTTTTAAATGTGATAACACAAATGTGTTTAATACTGGCAACTTCTAATTGTGGGAAAAACGAAAACGTTCCCAGTAGAGACGTCCCATAGCACATTTTGCGAAACACAATAGCCAGCATGTGTAGTTCTGGGGGGTGGGGGGGGGGCTGGTCCCGTTCAGTTTTGGATAGTCTGCCGTGGTTTCGTTCCATTTCAAAGTGCTGTTTGACGCTCGGCGTAGTGTCTTTGGCGTAGTGTCTTTGGCCACCCTAAACTCCGAAATGTTTTTCGGATTTCATATCGCATTAACACCATAACCCAACGTGCATTGCGGCAAAAACATCCAATCACTGAGCTTAAACCATAGCTGAGGATCTTGGGTAATCAGTTCAGTGGGTGTGTATCGCAATGATGCTAGAAATGTCCCATATAGGCCTACGTCTGTTTCCGGTTATTTTATTTTGAAATTCAGTTCCTGACAGACGCCAAAAAAGCCAGAGATTATAGAATTAAACTAATAAATAAAAACAAGGATAATTGTGTGTTATTGATGAGTAAATAACAGTGTGTTATTTAGAAAAGAATAACAAATTAGAAGGAAAAAAAGATTTAAAAAAATACTGATTTCAGTATTCTGAGGCTCTGAGCCATTTCTTTACCTCATGGACGGCAAAAAAAGTCCGACATTATACGATTTAAAATAAAAACAATAATCCTGGCTTGATATTGAGTAAGAAAATTTTTTTATGAACCCCACAGCTTCCGGTCTTCCAAGACCCGACCGGACAAAAAGACGTGTTGCAGGCACGAAACACACTACCAATAGAAATACATTGCTTTTAAAATCGTTCTGTGTGACACGAAAAAAAAAAAGGGGGATAATCGTGTTGGTGAACACGAATCAATAGATTACATGTCGTGACTATAACACGAAATTCCGTAAGACTGGGTTGTTTATAGACATCACGTTAGCATCAAGGTAGATATAGATAATATAAGCATGAAGTCAGTTAGATATAGAGAAAGTCACATTAAGGTAGAAATAGCATTAGGAAAGTAGGTAGCTAGATAAACAGATTACCGTGTTTCTTGCGACAACGACAACAATGCCAAAGATCAGCATGATGATCATTCCCGCCACCATGAAACCTGCAAACTGTAAATCACACAATGTCAGAACACTCCTGTTAAATATGGTGGTTAATCTAAAGAAAGACAAATTAGTGTCATACTGTAATAATAACTTAAATTGATATAGCGCCTTTCAGGGGACCGAGGGTCGCTTTCCAGAAAAACAAAACAAAAACTGTCAGACAAACCAAACAACATGAATTCTTCCTCTGTTTCACATCTTGTACGTACTATTTTGAAGAGGAGTTGTTTCTCCATGCATGCGGCAACGATTCCAAAGACAGGGAGGATGAGGACACCGAGGGCAAACACCCAAGTCCAGGCCAGACTCGGACCCCCCACCGCCGTAAACTGAAAAACAGGACAACACAAGGTCAAGTTTCTTTCATTTTGCAAAGTATTAAGCACAGATGGGCCCATATTTCATCCTCAGTATCTCAATCTCAATCTCTATTTATTTACATAGCACATTTAAAACAACTTCAGTCGACCAAAGTGCTGTATAAGGAACAAATATAAAATAACACAATAGGAGTAAAATAATAAAACAAGATAAAAAGTACAAATAACTAGAATCCCAAACGTAAAACATCCTCTACTGAATGTTCAAAGCTCCTTCAGACTGGAATAATGTACCACAAAAAAATATTCTTTTTTGCTGTTAACTGTACATGCTATTGATCAATTCACAAGTACAAAACACTATAGTTTGTATTAATTGTTTTGTTTTTATTGCTAGGAACATGTATTAATGTCCACATTTGTATCCTTAATGTTTGTGTTGTGATCGTAGTAGTCTTGTTGGTTGTTTTGTGACATGATTTCGTTTTTTGGTTTTGCTTTCTTGTTACTGCTGTTTGTACCATGTTAAGACCCCGTTGAAACATGATGGTCCATTTCAAGGGGTCTATCCTAAACTAACACATTTCAAATAATAATATGTTGCTTCTGAAGATAAATGATTCATTTATCATCATCAACATCCGAGAAAAATATGCTACTTAGCCAGGCTAACTTAGATTAGAAACAGCTTGTTCAGAAATCGATGTTCAGAGCTGCGTTTCTGGCAAATGCGTCATGCAAAACGTAGTGCTTTACTGAAGAGTGAATTATATAAGTATGTATAAATACCATCAAATCCTGGTGTGGACAATTATTCTTCTACACTAAAGCTACTCAAAATGTACATTTAGCTTTTTTCATTTTTAAGACCGCAAATAGATGTAAATACATCTTCCGCACTTATTGATTAGTTGTTGACAAAATCACTAGTATTGTTTATTCTAATATATATAAAAGTAATGAGTTTTGTTACACTTTACATCATATTGTTGCAGAGATGGAGTACTCGAGTCCTGGACTCGGACTCGAGTCGGACTCGAGTGCCGATTTTCGGGACTCGTGACTCGACTCGGACTTGCGCATTGATTGACGCGACTTGGACTTGGACTCGTCAATTCTCGCGCACGATGACTTGGACTTGGACTCGGACTCGTGAATTCTCGCTTACAATGACTTGGACTCGGACTCGTGAATGTTCCCCCCCACGATGACTCGGACTCGGACTCGTACATTGATGCTCCGACTTGGACTCGAGCAAGTTTTCTCTGGAGTCTGATGTCCTCTATCCTGGCGTGTGCACCTGTGAGGCGAGTACACGTACTGGGCCCCGCTATTCCAGTCTAAAGATGTCTAGAGACACACCCCGCATCGTGCTGTATGCTTTCACACATTCTGCTTCCACATTGGAAAAGAGCAGCGCAAAATGCTCGTTATGTGGAAACAATATTGAAGAGAAGAGAAGGCTCCGTAACACATTACTCTAAACATCGAGTTCAGACATATAGGCTGTCTTGAACACGATCATCAGAGTAACGTGATCTAATCAATAAATAAAGATTCAGCCGATAACACGAAAGCACATGGCTACTTAACATGCAGAATGACTTCATTTTGCATGCTAAGTAGCCATGTGCTTTCTGGGGCTCAATCTTTATCGGTAAACCGATTTAACCGGTAAGAGTTCCTTCAAAATAAGAGTCCCGATCTTATTACTATCAAAATAAAAGTGCAAAACGAAAACGTTACCATAGGAAAATATTGGATTACAAATATAATCACTTCTCTAAAAGGTAACTAATTTTAAATATAGTTAGACATATTATGGGTCATTTACAATAATAATAATAATATTAATATTAGTAATAAGCTTTATATTTGTATAGCACCTATTACAAGAATTGTAGCCAAACTGGCTTCACAGCAGTTCAATAGACAGATTAGTATAACATGACAGGATAAAAGCAATGTAGAGGAGCAGCTGCATTACAACACATAGATTAATACATGAAGACTTGGAGACTCGGACTTGACTTGGACTCTTCTTAGGTGACTCGGACTTGGACTCGGACTCGAACACAGGTAATGATGACTCGGGACTCGGACTCGACTCGGACACTCCTTGGGTGACTCGGACTTGGACTCGGACTCGAACACAGGTAATGATGACTCGGACTCGGACTCGACTCGGACACTCCTTGGGTGACTCGGACTTGGACTCGGACTCGACTACGACTCTCCCTTGGTGACTCGGACTTGGACTCGGACTCGAAGAGTGGTGAGTCGAGAGTGACTTGGACTCGTGAATTGGTGACTTGACTACAACACTGTATTGTAGTACATGTAAATGTTTACTTCTCTATCTTTGGCGACTTTCTCAAAGGTTTCACATCCAGATTTTGAAGGGCAGACAGAATATATTAATTTTATCGTTTGCCACAACCATGTATCGTTTTTAACACTAGAACCGCCAGAGATTTTTTATACCTAAAACCGCCACCTGGATCAAATTGACCCGCTATTAGAATGCATTGATTTTCAAGGTAAAATGTTCTTTTATTGAACAGAGAGTTTTGATCGCACAGGGATGAAAACGTATACCAATATAATCTGTGGACTCTCAGCTTTTCATACAGGGCTCGACATTATAAATGGCCCGCTGGGCAGGAAGCATTATTTAGACACCGCGGCCAGCATAACGTACCTTCAACTCGCCCCACAGCTGTTTGCTGCGGAGCGCAGTGCGAGCAGTCTCCCGTGAGCGGGAGCGCACTCCGTCACTACAGTCTCTCTCTCTCTCTCTCTCTCTCTCTCTCTCCTCGCTCTCTCTCTCTCCTCTCTCTCTCTCTCTCTCTCTCTCTCTCCTCCTCTTCTCCTCTCTCTCTCTCTCTCTCTCTCTCTCTCTCGTCTCTCTCATCTCTCTCTAATCTTCTACTCTCTCTATCTTTCAATATATCTATCCATCTCTCTCTCTCTCTCTCAATCTATCTCTCAATCTATAAGGAGGAACCGCAGTAGACAAAAGGCGTTGCTATAGCAACACGTCATGTTTATATGAAAAGGGGTGGGGTCAATATGACCCGCTTGGCGGAAATAGGTATAAATGGCAATTTTTTGGGCGATTTCTTCAATCTGACTTCATATTGACCATTTTTAACAACATAGGGGTGCTACATAACACAATTTCAGGAAAAGTCACAGACTGGAAGACTTTAAATATTTTATTGAAAAAAAGTTACACACAATAAAAAACAGCTCTGGGTCAAATTGACCCGATTGGCGGTTCTAGTGTTAAAACAGCGGCGTGTTTCTACTAATATTAGTGTTACGGCCATTGTAGAGCCATCGTACAGTTATCTTTACAAAGGAGCTCATACTCTGGTGAAAGAGAAGACCGACCCAAACATTGGATTTGTTGGCAATTTAAAAAAGTAGAATATCCAATAATAATCCCCAAAAAATGATATAAATTCCAGGAAAAATCATTGTTTATGAACTGGATTATGTTTAATCCTTCCTTTCCAGGTTTTTACAAAAGTCTTTGAATATTTGCCTAACTTTTCCTTTTCAGATTGTTAAACATTTTGAGAATTGTTTAATTTTTCCCTTCAGATTATGAAATGACATAAGGATTGATAGTTTAAGTAATGTAATTATGTTATCATGCCATAATCTTTTGATTTAAAGTGGACCTATCATGCTATATTTGAATAATATAGTGTTTACATATAACATATTTATACTTTTTTTTTTTCAAAATACCAAACAGATCATGCATTTTAGCCATGCCTCATTTTGCTCAATTTTACATTTTTTAGCTCTGTTTTAGCAAGGGCTGATTCTGTGAGAACAGCACCATCTACAGGCCTGGCATATGCACTACAGCGTCTCCAGCGCTTTCGAACGGCAATGGCCGTGGCTGTGTCCTCCTGATTGGTGGAGTTGGCCCAATAGCCGTAGCGCCACCGTCCTGACGTCAGGACAGTGTTCAAATCTGGATCAGTTTTTATCAGATCCGTTGCAGCCCCTTTTTTAGAGATTTGGGTATGGAGGAAAATAGAGAGGGTTGTGTTTTCTGACCCTTGGTGAGTTCCCTGGAACACCGGGGACACATATTCATGTAGAAAAGACGTACAAAAGTGCATTTTGCATGATAGGTCCCCTTTAATATTTAATGAAGCTAACGTAAATATAATCCTAAATTGAAGACAGTGCAATTTTGCAGATTACAGATTGATTAGATCACCAGTGTGAATGTCTTATACCTTAGCTGGATCTCTTATGATCCTAAATTTAAAATGCTTTTGACTAGGGATTGCCTTGAAGTAAACCGGTTTTGATTTTATAGTTTGATAAGTGAGATTAACTAATGAGTAAATGTTAAAACATATTAGTTTAAAATAAATGTTTTTGTTATTATGTATCTGTGATTTTATGTGTTCTTATGCTTTTGACAAAAGATGCTCCAAACACTGACGAGAGATGATTTTTCTATTATGATTGGCTGTCTCAATCATTGTGATTGAATGTTTCAATCTTATCATGTTGTTCTTAATGTGATTGTTATTGATGTAATTGATGTTGTGTAAATCCACACTCAAATCTGAAGATTCCCATTGATTTAAGTATTGAACAAAATATTATTAGACTAAGGTTTTTAGGTTATCAAAATTGATAAAAAGAGAGGAACTGTTGGGGAAATATTTCCCACGGCCCATAACTTTGACCCAGTGTATCAGTTCTGTCCTGACTGAGCGCACGCACCTGTAGCCTTGGCTGCTGTGCTCTCAGTGTTGTGTCTCCCTGCTCCTGCCTGATGGCGTCAGCTGATAGAGGTGTTATGATTCTATCTTGTTATCCACAATGTGGATTATTCTCTCTGAACTAGCTAAATACTCGGGTCTGGGGGAGAGTTCTTCGTGGCAACTCTACCGTGAAGTCAGAACCTCTGGCTCTTGGACTTGTTTTCTGAATTCTCCGGCCGAAGCTCCTAAATAAACCCATCAGTGTTTGCCATCAGAGCTCCAGCTCTCCCCGTGTCTCCTTCCTGAGTCGGCGACTCCCACTGCATTGCTACACAGAAGTCTCCCCCACACCAAGTTGGATTTCTGCTCTGATTGCATTGTCCTGTCTCCCAGAAAAGGTGGAATGGAAAATCTCCTGAAGGCTGCATCTGCTTTGCATTAAAAACTAAAAAAAGGACTGAAAGCCTCCTCTACGTCTCACGCAGCTGCCAGGCGTTCCTTATAAACAATCACCATCCTTCACCTTGACTTGTTTTAAACATCTCTAAACAGGTACGGGGTTTTCCGATGTCTGCAGGATTATCCAAGTAACAAACCAGCTGCTTTTGTTTACACTCAAAGCTTTGACGTAATTAACATTCCTAAGTCTGAAAGAGGTTATACAAGGTTGTTTAATGGTAAAAAAATCCCCCTATTTTTATTTACAGTAATCAACACAAACAAACCCTGGAACCTCTGTTGTAACTCGTTTTATTTGTAGTTCACATCTGACTCTCATTTAGTGGTTTACTCTGTGAGCCACGTTACAGTAAATGTGCCGCCAGGAGACATCCCGTAATGGAGAAGTTGTAAAAGATGTTTGGCAGCGACCATTAATCCCAGGCAGATAATGAGTGAGAGAATTCATCTGGCAGATCACACACGAGATGTCAAACTCTGGCAGAAATACAACCCTGTTTCTGGTTCAACTTCTGTCGGAGCGTTTGTAGTTTGTTTATGTTTCTAGTAAACCCAGAGTAGTGTTGTTATATCTTAGGCAACAGCCTCTGTAAAAAGTCCAAATGACGCTTGATTCTTTGTACAAATTACCCCGAAAGATAGCTACAGCTATAACTAACTAACGTTGATGCAAAAGGCTGGAGTTCATTCCTGTCCACTGCCAAGTGGACAGGAATGAACCCAGGAAATGACTCATGATTTTAGCATTTCCTGTCCCCGGGTCTGGAGGCCAATCGTTATCTGAAAGTGCTTTTGGTTGTTGGTTGAGATAAGGTCTGTAGTTTAACACAATCTGAAGAGATGTTAAGGTTTTGTCCAACGAAATGGTTGGTTTTTGGTCTTTTCATGGGATTTATTGACAATGAAATGAACCATCAACACATTTGAACTGAGCTAAAAAAAAAAAAGGCCAGTGCTAAAAAACAAGCTAACGTAAAAAAAGGTATATAGCAGTTCTTCTAATGACCACTAGCTGTTCTAAAACCTTATAATGACTCAGAATTGTATCTCTTCCTGTCCCCTGGAGTGGAAGTCAATGGTTTTTTTCTGAATGTGTTTTTGGTTGTTGGGTAAATACCCCACTGGGTGAAATTTCGTAAATGTTTGTTGGAGATTATTTTCGTCAATATTCCAAAATCCAAAGGAAAAATCCCCTCTTTTGTTGAGGGAACCAGGGAGATGCTACCTTCAGGGTCCACTACAGAAATACGACATCCCTTTACCACTCTATAGTAAAAGGAGAGTAGTTGTTGTTTTTTTTGCTTGGTTTGTCAGCAGGATTACAGAAAAACTAAAGGCACAATTTTCATTAAAATTGGTGGAAGAGTGTAGTCTTGGCCAAGCAAGAAACTATTCTGGATCAGAGACGCGAGGCAGATACATAATTATGTCTCACTTTTGTTAACATTTAGAGGTATGGCTTTTGCCCTGCAGTCATGTAGTGTCGGAATAATCTGAAAAAATGTATCCAGAATCGAAAAAATGTCAGATAAACAGCCTGACGATAAACGTATCAGAGAGATATCTACGTGTTGACATAAAAGGCAGCCGTTTATAAAGTTAGAGGCTCATTTTGGCTTTTTAAACTTCTGACAATTTAAAATGTTAAAATGCGAATAAACTGATTTGCATGCTGTCTGCATTTCGAAAGCCAAAATGTAGGACTTTTTGTGGATTCACTATCTGTGATGTTGTTGTTGTTTACCTGGTGGCTGAAGGGGGTGGCCTTCACTGCTCCGAAGACCAGCACACCGCCGAGGAGCTGAGGACAGAATCAAATATGTTAAAAACGCCATGTATGTATGGACGCTGAAGAGTGCCAAACAATATAGATTTTTAGAAAATTGTAAACAATGTAAACAATTTAGAAAGAAATTAAACCAATTGTAAATTAAACTAACATATATTTAAATGGAATAAAAAACACAAATGGCAAATTGTGATTTAATTTCTACCTATCCATGCCTGAAATGCGTACCCATTTCTGTCATTCCTGCCTTTAGACACTAGAGGGAGATAGAAACCCAAAAACTAAAATCACTTTCTCCGTCTCCTCCCAATTCTTTTTTTAAAAATTGTAAATAGATTACCTTTTTTATAATACAATTAGCTAATGCATTTACTCTGCTGCAAAAGATGAGGAGAGGCAGGAGACGGACATTGTGTTGGTTTGAGAAGGAAGGAAAGTGGGTGTGAAGGACAGGAAAAGTGAAGAAATGTGCAATCAGTTTTATTGTCTTGCACAATTCCAAGCTTTATTTTTTTTGTTTATCTTTTCATTCTTCCTGCCTAAAACAAACAAAGATAAGACCTGCTGATCGAGCTGAACAACATTATTTCTACCCTTCTAAATTAAATAAAAAAAAGGGGGGAATGAAGGGCGAAAAGATCTCTTGATTGTTTTTGCGCTTTTTTATTCTAGAACCTGATTCAGCTTTATTCTCTTGCTCAGTTTCCCACATTTTTTGGGTGAAAAGGTTCAGTTTTATAGGCTTTTTTCTCTTCTCCCTGCCAAAAACCAACACACCTTAATGCCCCCTCACCCCTCAGAAACCCACTCTTTATTTCCTTCTTCCTTTCTCCAGCGCTCCGAGCAAAACACATAGAAAACCATCTGGAACTCGACCCGGCTGCCATTTGTTTTGCAGTTACTGGAAATGACTGAACGCTGATGTAAAAATCTGATGTAGTTACACGAGTAATAAATTAAAAAATAATCCTTCACTACTTTCAATTTAAGTTTTACACCTTCATTTTCAATTAAATCAAACTTTTAGGCTTTTTTACATTTAATATATGTAATTTAAGAGTTTTAAAAACCCATAAATAAACCAAATAAAGTCATAAAAACATATATATTGTATTTATTTTTGAGCAACTCTCTATCCTTTCTGTTTTTCTTCATCATAGTAAAATAAATTCTAGATTCTACATTTTTTTTCCCAGCAAGATAAAACCCCATCTTTGTTTAATAACAAGTGAAATAATTAAAAAATATATATTAATTATCAAAGAGTTGTGACTTCTTGCAGTCTTCATTTTGTAGCATATATAATTATTTTTATAAATTAAAAAAATATATTACTACAATTTCTTTCGGTTTTTTTACCCCATCAATTGATCTTAAACACAGAAAATTATTATTACATCTTTAACTTGGTTTTCTTTTCGGATTCTAACCCTAACCCCCCCTAACCCTAACCCTCTTTTCCCCCCTCTTTTTATCTTTTAGCCCAAACATAAAACAAACGTTGAGAAGAAAAAAAAGTAACCAAAAAAAGGAGCAATAATAATCATAAAAGTTTGTACTCACTGCAAACACCACATTGAAGAAGATAAAGAGGCATTTGATGCATCCGTTAATTTTCCCCATCCTCAGTTTTGAGAGTTTCTCTGAGAGATGAAACTGCCGTGCTGACACTGAAAACACAGAGGGTGTGTGTGTGTGAGATGGTATGCAGATCCCAGATCTGCACGACATAGAACAGATCTGCCACGACACAGAACAGATCTGCACACAGAAGAGAGAGTGATTCTGATCTAGTTCATTTTTCTCATTTGTTTCATTGCATCTTTTCCATTGAATATGCTTTGTGTGAACAGATAGAAGATTTAAGGCCAAACAACAAACTTTTTTTTGGACATTATTTACTTTTTTAAATGCTGCAAATACAAAACACTGCAGAAGCTCAAAACACAACGGACACCAGGGGACACTAAAAAGTGACACACACCAGCTTGGAGCCGGGATGCTTGGAGACGTTCGGGGTGCTTGCTAACGTAGCTAACGTAGCTAACGTAGTAATATCAGAGGGAATCATGTGATCACATTGTTAATATAAGACCATAAAACTTTAAATTGAGACGGTTGTCCAGCTTTATAATCCTGAACGTCACAAAGCGCTCCGTCCCAGCTGTGTGCGTCACTCTTTAGTGTCCCCTGGTCTCCCATCTGTGTGCGTCACTCTTTAGTGTCCCCTGGTCTCCCAGCTGTGTGCGTCACTCTTTAGTGTCCCCTGGCTCCCAGCTGTGTGCGTCACTCTTTAGTGTCCGTGGTCTCCCAGCTGTGTGCGTCACTCTTTAGTGTCCCCCCTGGTCCGTCCAGCTAGCTAGTGTGCGTCACTCTTTAGTGTCCCTGGTCTCCCAGCTGTGTGCGTCACTCCTTTAGTGTCCCCTGGTCCTCCCAGCTGTGTCCCCTGGTTCTCCCAGCTGTGTTCGTCCACTCTTTAGTGTCCCCTGGTCTCCCAGCTGTGTGCGTCACTCTTTAGTGTCCCCTGGTCTCCCAGCTGTGTGCGTCACTCTTTAGTGTCCCCTGGTCTCCCAGCTGTGTGCGTCACTCTTTAGTGTCCCCTGGTCTCCCAGCTGTGTGCGTCACTCTTTAGTGTCCCCTGGTCTCCCAGCTGTGTGCGTCACTCTTTAGTGGTCCCTGGTCTCCCACTGTGTGCGTCACTCTTTAGTGTCCCCCTGGTCCGCCCAGCTGTGTGGCGTCACTCTTTAGTGTCCCCTGGTCTCCCAGCTGTGTGCGTCACTCTTTAGTGTCCCCTGGTCTCCCAGCTGTGTGCGTTCACTCTTTAGTGTCCCCTGGTTCTCCCAGCTGTGGTGCGTCACTCTTTAAGTGTCCCCTGGGTCTCCCAGCTGTGTGCGTCACTCTTTAGTGTCCCCTGGTCTCCCAGCTGTGTGCGTCACTCTTTAGTGTCCCCTGGTCTCCCAGCTGTGTGCGTCACTCTTTAGTGTCCCCTGGTCTCCCAGCTGTGTGCGTCACTCTTTAGTGTCCCCTGGTTCCCAGCTGTGTCGTCACTCTTTAGTGTCCCCTGGTCTCCGTTGTGTTTGAGCTTCTTCAGCGTTTTGTATTTGCAGCGTTTGGTTTCTGCAGCTTTTAGTAAACGCTGCGCATGTCTCCTCAAGTTGCTGAATGTTCTCTAAATGTGACGCGTTTGCACCTGTCGGCCACCTTATTTTCAAGTTGGAGGAAACAGCTTTGTATTGAGTTACCTCTCTAACTAGTGTAGATCTATGCGTGTGTGTGTGTGTGTGTGTGTGTGTGTGTGTGTGGTGTGTGTGTGTGTGGTGTGTGTGTGTGTGTGTGTATGTCTGTCTTCCCTCTGCCTCTCCCACAAGCAATAATGTGGAGGTCAAGAACAGAAAATGTAAAAGCAACAATGTTCTTCCTGTGATCCAGGGTCGGGGAGGGGAGGAGGAGAAGGCTGAAGAAAGAGCACCGAAACACAAAAACAGAGAGATGGGCACTCAGGAAGACCCTCCATCCATACCAGAGGAAGGGGGAGGGTACATGTCATTAGGTTTAAAAAAGGAAGGGACAACTGGACAAGAACAAATGCAGTTGCACGAACAACAATGTCAAATACAAGCTGTTTCATGCATGAGATGCTTATATTTGCATATAAAAGGTAAGTCTGGCTAAACCGTTTTAAAATAAGGAATAAAAAAAACAGAACTTAAAGGTGGGGTATGTAATTTTGGAGAAACCAGCTCGAGTGCGCTAGAATTTGAAAGTACACAACCGAAAAAAATGTGCCCCTTCCTTACAGAGCCCCTCCTCCAACACACACGAACGCGCACATGACCAATGAGGGCATGAGATAAGTTTGTGCACAGATGGAAGGCTAACAGGCAGGTCGGCCACGACCTGCCTGGATTGTTATAGCGCTGTAAAAAGCTGCCTTTTTACCGGGCCGGCTAAAAACAGTCTTGCTTTTTACAGCGCTACGGCTTCCACAGATGACATTTGTTATGTATTTACAGTATTGTCAAAGCATTTAATATATTCATTACTATCGGGATGTTAAGAGCATTCCATGGAATATAACAACAAGTGTTTCTGAAATAAATTACACACCCCACCTTTAATTAAGTGATTTATCTCCGGGACAATTGGGTTTGCGACAGTTCCATTTCAAGGAAAAAATTAATAAACAATAATAATCTGAAAAAAAATATTTGTGTAAAATGAAAGAAGTTCAAGTAAACCGTCCAATAAAATATAAAAAAAAACGTTACAAATATTTACATTTAAAGTTATTAAAGGTGGGGTAGATAAGTTTGAGAAACCGGCTCGAGATCGCTAGAATTTGAAAATACACAACCGGAGAAAATCTGCCACTTCCTCACAGAGCCCCTCCTCCAACACACACGAACGCGCACATGACCAATGAGGGCACGAGATAAGTTTGTGCACAGATGGAAGGCAGGTAGGCCATCCAGTTATTTTAGCCGAGCCGGCTAAAATGATTGGTCGTACTTTTTACAGTACTACTGCTTCCACAGATGATATTTTTTTATGGATTTTTTGTCAAAGCACTTCAGATATTCATTGCTATCGGGATGTTAAGAGCATTCCATGGAATATAACAAAAAGTGTATCTCGAGCCGGTTTCTCAAACTTACCTACCACACCTTTAAGTTAGAATGTGTAATACAATATATCAAATATACATTAAAATATATTGTATAAGCATAAAAAGGTTCAAATAAAGTAAGATTGTGCAATGAAAACATTTAATAAATATAGGTCATATGATGGGAAATTACTGAGATGACGCAACGACAAGTAGCTTCATGTATGGATCTATTGCAAAACATCAAATCATTAAAGTGAAGTCTGGCTAAATCTGGTTTAATGTCGTTCAGCAAACAAAACTACTTTAAGGAGTCCTCTCCTGCTGATGTTCAGGTGTATGTCAGTATGTAGTGTCTCTACTTTAAAGAGTCCTCTCCTGCTGATGTTCAGGTGTATATCAGTATGTAGTGTCTCTACTTTAAAGAGTCCTCTCCTGCTGATGTTCAGGTGTATATCAGTATGTAGTGTCTCTACTTTAAAGAGTCCTCTCCTGCTGATGTTCAGGTGTCTATCAGTATGTAGTGTCTCTACTTTAAAGAGTCCTCTCCTGCTGATGTTCAGGTGTATATCAGTATGTAGTGTCTCTACTTTAAAGAGTCCTCTCCTGCTGATGTTCAGGTGTATGTAGTGTCTCTACTTTAAAGAGTCCTCTCCTGCTGATGTTCAGGTGTATATCAGTATGTATTGTCCCTACTTTAAAGAGTACTCTCCTTCTCATGTTCAGGTGTATATCAGTATGTAGTGTCTCTACTTTAAAGAGTCCTCTCCTGCTGATGTTCAGGGGTATATCAGTATGTAGTGTCTCTACTTTAAAGAGTCCTCTCCTGCTGATGTTCAGGTGTATATCAGTATGTAGTGTCTCTACTTTAAAGAGTCCTCTCCTGCTGATGTTCAGGTGTATATCAGTATGTAGTGTCTCTACTTTAAAGAGTCCTCTCCTGCTGATGTTCAGGTGTATATCAGTATGTAGTGTCTCTACTTTAAAGAGTCCTCTCCTGCTGATGTTCAGGTGTATATCAGTATGTAGTGTCTCTACTTTAAAGAGTCCTCTCCTGCTGATGTTCAGGTGTATATCAGTGTGTAGTGTCTCTACTGTAAATAGTCCTCTCCTGCTGATGTTCAGGTGTATATCAGTATGTAGTGTCTCTACTTTAAAGAGTCCTCTCCTGCTGATGTTCAGGTGTATATCAGTGTGTAGTGTCTCTACTTTAAAGAGTCCTCTCCTGCTGATGTTCAGGTGTATATCAGTATGTAGTGTCTCTACTTTAAAGAGTCCTCTCCTGCTGATGTTCAGGTGTATATCAGTATGTAGTGTCTCTACTTTAAAGAGTCCTCTCCTTCTGATGTTCAGGTGTATATCAGTATGTAGTGTCTCTACTTTAAAGAGTCCTCTCCTGCTGATGTTCAGGTGTATATCAGTGTGTAGTGTCTCTACTGTAAAGAGTCCTCTCCTGCTGATGTTCAGGTGTATATCAGTATGTAGTGTCTCTACTTTAAAGAGTCCTCTCCTTCTGATGTTCAGGTGTATATCAGTATGTAGTGTCTCTACTTTAAAGAGTCCTCTCCTGCTGATGTTCAGGTGTGTTACAACCCGGCTCTTGGGCTGTAACAAAAAGCTGGGAGTCGAGACGAGGGGTATGAAAATATAACAATCCTTTTACTTTTCTCTTCCCATCTACCTGCTGCATGATACATACCACTTTCATCCTGGACCCTGAAGTCTCGACCGCCCCTGTGTCACATAGTCATCAGCCAGTGCAGCGGCCAGTGCAGCAGCCTCTGCAGCAGTCTTCACCTTGCGCTCGCTGATGTGAACCGCAATGTGGCTGGGTACAGAATTTTTCAATTGCTGCAACACCATCATCTCACATACTGCAGCATACGTATCCACATTTAGGGCGTTACACCACCTACTGAAAGAAGTAACCAGGTCTCTGGCAAACTCGACATGGGTCTGTCTGCCAGACTTCTCCCAGGACCTGAACCTCTGTCGATATGCCTCAGGGACTAATTCGTAGGCCTTCAGCAAAGCAGTTTTAACAGTCAGATAAACCTTGCTCTCTGCCACCGTCAGAGCAGAGTAGGCTTCCTGGGCTTTACCTGTT